CCTTAAATCTCAAATCCTTTCTCCATCAGTCTCTCCTGGTCGACCCAGCCCATAATAATCTCTCAGATACCTTCCTGTGGGAGTCACTCAAAGTCTTGAAATGCAAACGCCCAAATAGTCAGGTGATACCATTTCGTGTTTCTCAGTCCTTTTTCCTGAGGAATCTTCTAGTGGTGTTTGTTACTTCTGATCATCTGCCCAAGGGATTGCAGCTTTTAAGGGCAGCTGGGTCCTCAGTGAAAGCTGCACAATTGGAAGCCAGGTTTGGTATGTAGAGTTTTATTCAGTAATAAACTCCAAAACTCTGGAAGGGAAGTTTTCATTTGCACCGCTTCCTGTGAGTTTTGTCCTTTATTTTCAAAACTTTGTTTGCTGTAGGTAATAGTTCCTAAAAATTATGTTAAGGAAATGAGAATGCTAGGAGTTTGTTCCTAACAAATGTATTGGAGAAGGGGGGTTGTTTTATCTCGAACCTCTTATTAAGAGCCACTGAATACTCAATAGAAAAGTGCCTACGATTAGTTTTAGGCCCCTTCATGTGGGCAGAGAAGCCAGGGAGCACCCACCTCCCTCCTCCACTTGGGCGTCTCTAACCAGCCCTGAGACTCAGGGTCCCTTTTGGGTCTTTGAAAGATTAGGTAGAAAACATGGGCTTTGGGCTTGGGTCTTCACAAGCTGAGGAGACAAAGTGGGGTATCACACCTCAGGGTGGCCCAGAAACCAGGCTTGTCACAAGCCTCTCCTTTTGGCGACTTCCAGACCATGGGGCCTTTTAAACAGGAGCAGCAGAACACCCCCCTCCTCCTGTTACCTGGAAGCCCTTCATGAGCTCCAGCTACTGCTTCACCTTCTGGCTGCCGCACGGCCCAGTGAGGCCTTTTGATAGGTCACGTGCCTCTCCGATAGCCTGCTTAAAGAGTGATTGTTATTTCGGTAGAGTGCCTGAGGAAAGAGGCTCCTGAGGACCTGGCCACTCTGGCTTTGGTCGTCCCGAGCTCCAGGCCCGGAGACACCATTTGGCATCTTGCCCTCAGGTTCTTGAGAGGCTTGTATTTTCTTGTTTGAATTGAGCCCTGCTCCAAGAAGGCGGGGAGTGAGTTCTCACTGCCCTTCCACTTCTAGCAGTTGGAGGCCTCTTCTGAAACCAGTCAGCGGGAAGATTTGATTCTAAACAGTCTTAAGCAAACTTTGGGCAAACTTTTAACTTTTTTAAAATTAATTTTAATTTTTAAGTAGAAGTGTGAACTAGATTTTATTATGTTGGGTTTTATTCCTTTCTATAAAAATTTAGATAGAATTAGGATTACGAATCATGATTGTGTGTATTTTGCAATCTTACTGGGTGTGTGGAGCTAGTTTTGCCTCATAAAAAGAAATAGAGAAATGAAGGCAAACCTGATTTGAGACATACCCTGCCATGGGTCCTTATTTACACATTTGAAAAGCATCCAAGATTCGATTTGTCTATCTATTCCTGCTCGCAGATTCTGCTTACACAGCCCTCCTCCTTCCCCACCAGACAGCATTGCAAGTGTCTGATCAGGCTTTTCTGAAATCAGTAGGGTTATCACTCAGCTATGACCAGCTGGATCATGCTAATTGGAAATTAGGTGCTTCTCACACTGAAATCTCTTTAAAAGTGTCTCTGCAGATCTTCAGGTATGGGAATTCTGCTAAATGTCTATAGTACTGCATGCCTTATAAATGTTTGAGTTCGATAGATTCAGTGATTATTTCTAGAGAAATGTGAGTTATTGAGAAAATCCTGTTATTTATGCTGGCAACAAGTCTTTAAAAGATAGTTTTATATCAATGACTAAAAGAAAAAGAAAAGTCTATACTGTCTTACCTTAATGTTACCTTTCCTCAAGAAAGCCAGTAAATAAAATTCAAAGTGGCAATAAGCTTACTAATTTTTCATTGTATATTTGGTTTACATTTTAGGACAGTGTTTCTAGAACTTACTGTGATAGAGAACCATCTTGTTTGGTTTATTCCTCCTTCATAGACTAATACTTTAGTAAAACACAATGAAAATAATTGTTAGAGAAATGAAATAAATAGAACAAAGACGTAGAAATAGAACCCTTATTTTCTATTAGATTTACAGACATACAGTTACTCAGTATCTCTACTTACCTCGTCAGGGACAGTAACAGTTAACAGACTGGCACCATCTGTAGACCACACATTGAGAAACACTGTTGTGGAGTGTATGCATATGTCATGAGGCCAGAGTCCTTGTGCCTGGCGCTTCAAAGGCCAAAACTCAAACCTCAGAGTTTGGAGTAAGGAAAGGTTTATTGATTGAGAAGGTGCCAACTGAGAAAGGTGGGAGACCTACTGGTGCCTGGAGTCCATCATAAGGAAGTACAGGCTTCAGGCATTTCTTATGTCAAGGGAAGGGGAAGTAGGAGGGGCAAGAGGTGATTGACCACCACAGATATGAGGGCGCCAGCAGGGGTCCGAGGAGGTTTCTACTTAGTCTCTTGGTCCTAGTTAATGTGAGTCCAGTCAAGAGGTTCCTGCAAATCTTTGATAAACCATACATACTTCCCTTATCTCCTTAGGAGAAGCGCATTCTAATAAGGGGCTGTTTTTGTAAAACCAAAGCTACAAGCTGAATTCCACCAATGATGAGCATGTCTATAAGCAATATTAAGCAGAAGCTACTAGCCTGAAGGCCATGGGAACAAAGCAGGCTTGGACAAGATGCAGTCAGAGGGCTGAGCATCTCACTGTTAACATGTATACGTTTGTGTACTCTGTCACACATGTTTAAATGTCTTGGGTCTGATCACATTATAATATATAACATAGATCATCTAACAGCTTTATATGAGAATTAAATGCACTTAGCTTTGGGCAGAAGCAGAATTTTTCAGGAAGTGAGTATTTAGATGCTTAAATTGTAATCAAACACAAATAATGTAATTGTGAATACAGTTATCTGTTTCAAAATACAGTTGTCCAGTTACACTTCTAAATGCATGAAGTAGAAAGTGTTTTTGCAATGTGAAATGAAATCACTTCCTCTCTAATTCACACCCAGTTTAAATGGGCGCAGATACTTTAGATAGGAAATGTTCTATGCAAAGTGTATATACACATGAGGCTTTTAGTACTAAACAGTAGGAAATGTTTTTGTCATGTGAGGTATTAGATAAGCAGGTTGTTAGTATCATATCATACCTTCCTTTGCCTTTGGGGACCATTAATTATGGGACTGGCCTTTGGTTCTTGTGATTGACAGCCATTTTCTAAATGTTTATAAAACAAGGGAAAGTGTTTCATACAAGTAACTCCACATCTTTATAAGCATTAACGAATTCTCCAGCCAGTTCTGATAGTGAGGTATTGTAGCTGTCTTCATATTTCTCTCCTGGAGACTGAGGCACATGAACGTAGTCACCCCAGGTGGGACTTGTATGCCAAACTCTGTGACCACCTGCGTACCTGTCTGCCTTGAGGGGCAGCGTGGGCTTCTTTAACAAGAGTGTTGGAAGGGATTTCTGTGACGTTTATTATTGTTAGCCTCATTCCTTTAGGATGAGACTCATAACTCAAAACGATAATGAGGTGTAGGAGAAATTACTGAGTCCCTTGAAGACCAGGTTTTATTCCTCTGAGGGACTCGCTGCTGCCTGGCAGAGTGCCCAAGATAGCGTAGATGCGGAATGAGTTAATAAAGGATTGAATGAGGTGCCATCAAAATCAGCTGAGACAATTCATTAAAAGGCAAGACACTTTTAGAAGAAAACTTGAGTAACTACAAAATCCCTGTACATGAAGATATCAGAAAGAGTGGCATTGAGGAGAGGCTTACCACGCGTCCACGGTAAGTGTTGCAGAGGGTGAGAGAGCAAGCATGGGCTTGGCCTAATTAAAGCCACGTCTCTCCCTCTGGATGACATAAGGACAACTTTCTTGATTAAGTAGTAGAAATTAAGGTCTTCAAGGCAAAGGCCAATGGACTTGCAATCGTTCTGTTTAGATGGTAGAAGTTCTGAGAGGATGGGCCGCTCTCCAGAAGGTGCAGCCAGCTTAGGGTGTCTTCTCTAAGGCTGGGACAGGTGAGGGGACACCTTGGCCTAGGCTGTGAGTGTCAGGCAAGGTAGGGCAGAGCTAAAATCCAACCCATTCTCAAATGCCCAAGGGCTGAAATATAAGATTGTTGTTTCTTTGAAATCTCTCTCTCTGAAGGCACAGTTAAGTATTTTGTTATGAAATGTCTCAAGTACCCAAACAGCAATGCTTGTAGTCAGAGCAAATTATTTTCCAATCAGTCTAGTTGCATTCAGACAGAGCCGTATGCAGTGAAATTGTGCCATGGAAAAACTTGGGCTGGGAAATCCACATTCCTCCACTGGATTCTAGACTGAAAAGCGGTGGCAGCTCAATCACTGTGGTCATTTAACACAGGCCAAGTGCTTCACCACGTGTCCCCAAACAGACAGAAAGGCTCTATGCATAATGAGGAAGGAAAAGGCATTTTGAAAGCACACACAGTTCTACCAAAATTGTACATGTTCTCCTCTAAGTTGGTTCTTTCAATCGTTCAAGATGTGTTCAAGCTGTAACCTATGACACCTTTATCTGTCTACGTCATAGCATTTTAAGTGTTTTCTTGGGCTTTAAAAATAAATCTGTTTGGGGGAGGGAAGTTGAACCTGTATGGTAGTGTTAGGCAAGTGCAGGAGCTGAGAAAGTCAAAATTACAGTTGCCATGGTAACATTTAACTGGTCTGGGTGGTACACATTTCCCAAGAAATGCATTCACCAGACTACATAGTGATAAAAATTGTTCCCCGGGCATACAAAAGTAGATTTCCCAATTTTCTTATTCTAAAAAGCCTTCCCCCAATTAAATCAACTGTTTAACAAAGCCTGGACAAGGCACTATGAGAAGTCCACGGCCTGATCGCTGAATCAGCATCTTTTTTATGGTAGCAACGAGTTTCCCTATGATTAATTCCATTTCCTTCCTTTCTCCTTTGCAGATATATGTTGGGTAAAGGAGGAAAACGGAAGTTTGATGAGCATGAAGATGGGCTGGAAGGCAAAATCCTGTCTCCCTCTGACGGTCCATCCAAGGTGTCTTACACCTTACAGCGCCAGACTATCTTCAACATTTCCCTTATGAAACTCTACAACCACAGGCCCCTCACAGAGCCCAGCTTGCAAAAGACCGTCTTAATCAACAACATGTTGCGGCGGATCCAGGAGGAGCTCAAACAGGAAGGCAGCCTGAGGCCTGCATTCACCCCCTCCTCTCAGCCCAGCGACTCGCTGAGTGACAGCTGCCGAGAGGCCCCGCCGGCGCTCAGCCACGCCGCGGCCCCGCCCGCTCACCCCGGCGACCTCGGAAGCACTACACCCCTGGAGGCCTGCCTCACCCCGGCCTCGCTGCTGGAGGACGACGACACTTTTTGCACTTCCCCAGCCCTGCCGCCCACTGCTCCTACCAGACTCTCACCTCCAGCTCTCTCGCCGGCAAAGGACAGCTTCTCCTCGGCCTTGGACGAGATCGAGGAGCTCTGTCCCACATCTACCTCTACAGAGGTCGCCGTGGCAGCGACTGACAGCTCGAAAGGGGGCGCCAGCGAGTCCGGCGCCCCGAAACCCGAGGGGCTCCAAGAGGGCCGCCCCGACGATCCGAAACTGATGGATTCTCTGCCTGGGAATTTTGAAATCACCACGTCCACGGGATTTCTGACGGACCTAACCCTGGACGACATCCTGTTTGCTGACATTGACACGTCGATGTATGATTTTGACCCCTGCACCTCCACGTCGGGGACAGCCTCGAAAATGGCCCCCGTGTCAGCGGACGACCTCCTCAAGACTCTCGCCCCTTACAGCAGCCAGCCGGTCGCCCCGAGTCAGCCTTTCAAAATGGACCTCACAGAGCTGGACCACATCATGGAGGTGCTCGTCGGGTCCTAAGTACCAGGGACCCCGTGACTGTGCCCACCCAGGCCCTGCGAGTGGCCCCGCGCCCTGACAGCTCTCCGCACTGTGCATGCACCCTTGCTTGCCTTTTTCAGAGAAAAAGAACATTTTACAAAAGGATCACATTAGTTTTTGCTTTGAGCAGAGTTGGAGTGCCTTCATCCAAGGATGACCACTTTCAGTATGCTTTTTTGAGTGGTTCCTCAAAGACCTACTACCCTGGAATAGGAAAGAATACATTTGAAGACAATGTTGCTGTATCAAGTGGCAAAAACAGTTCAAGTGAAGCACAAGGAATAAGTTGGGAAAGCTGTAAATTGCATGTGCATATTTGTCTATTTTTTCTATAAGTTTTATTGCAAGAGGCAAAAAAAAAAAAGAAAAAGTATATATATATATATTATTTAGATAATCTCAGTACCTTTTCTGGCATTTTCGCCCTGTATAGGTTGACTTGGCAATTCAGCCTTTTTAGAGGCATTAACTCCTCGTAAGTGTTGCATTTACATGGCTGTTTAGAAACTGCTGCCCAAATTTATTTTATATTTTTGTACAGATTCTGCAGTTTATGATATTGTTTTTCTAAAAAAAAAATGCTGTTTATACATATGAGATAGCTATTTTGATAGGATTTGCTCACATAGTTCCTGCAAACTTCAGATGTACAAGTTGCACTTGTACTTTTATAGCGTTGTAATGTTTTATATGTGTCTGGTGCAAAGAGAAAATTGGATCAAATCAATCCGCAGTTGATGTCCCCAAATGCAGACACACACACACACACACACACACACACACACACACAGCGCTTTAAGAAAGGGCCAGGCAATATCACACCCAAATTTCACAGGCACCGACCTCCTGGCATGAACACCCGCCAGCACTGTGACTTCCAAAGCCAGAGCCACGTCTGCTCATCAAACTTGCATTAAGCAGTTGGCGGGAGGTGGCCTTGGAGCTCGGGGTCTAAGTGATGGTTCTCTTTAGCTCCCTCTCTTGACGGGAAGACTACCGAATACTCACTGTATTTATGCCAAGTTTGTGCTTTTAATTGTTTTTATTTTTTTTAATGAAAACCCAAATTTTTCCTTTTTGGCATAATTTTTATGATGACCTGAAATTTTACATGTGAACAAAATTTTATGAAAAGGAAGCAACCTCTTCATGGAACTAAACCCTATTGCAATGCTTAGGGCTCCTAAGGAAAAAAAAATCTCCCCCAGAAGGCATCCATCATGTTGCCCATTGTCTCTTCCAGCTTCCATTCCCTGGAGTTTTTGATCCCTCTGTTGCTAAGTGCTGAAAATGGTATCTTCATGATCACCACGGTGAGCTCAGCTCACCTTGGCTGAGCCTGGGATGCAATCTTGAAACAGCCGTGGCTCTTGAACCTAGAGTTGGTCCCATTATCTCACAGCTTCCAATCTGGTTGCTTTCTTGAATCAACTGCTTTAACTATACTTTTTACAAGGCTGTTTTACCCAAATATGCAGACAGGACTTTCTATGCATGTTTCTCCTACTTCCCCCTTGCCACCCTCTCCCCAACCCCCCTCCCCGTCCGACACTTGAGAAATAGCTTTTTATTCCTAGCGGTGTACATTTAATTTTAAAACATTTGCAATGTATCATGCTTGTTGCCGAAATTGTTTATGGCCTTTTCCTTTCAGTTTTTTCTTTCTTCCAATGGTACTTTTGCTGGTTACATCCTATATTGTTGAAATGCAGATGGCTTCTTTAGGAATAACTTTTATATTTATTTAAGAATTTTTAAATTATGGGATTTGTGTTGTTGTTGTTGTCTTTGTTGTTAGTCATTTGTCAATATTCAGTCACCAATTCTGCTCACGTCTTGCCATGGATAAAATTGTGTCTTTCTGGCCAATTAAAAAAGACAGCTTTATAAAATGGCACTTTAAACAAGCCATAGATAGTTTTATTTTTATAATGCACATGGCAAAACAAATACATTTGTGATGAAGGAACTGCTCATCTAATCAAAAGATTTGTCGTGTATGGTATGATTAAATATTTCCACATTCTAATTTATCCCCCCCCCCACTTGAATGTGTTTTTAAAGGCTAATTATCAATGCTGTAGAGCAGTGAGAAACAGATCAAATTGCTCATGTCCTCCTACAAGCAACCTCCACTGGGACACCTCTTACTGCTACAGATGTATCATCTCCTTTGATAGGACCAGGGACCATATATACAGTTAAGGTGAGGGTCATTGTAAATGCTTCCAGTGTCACTGTGCCTGTCCGCTATAAGAGCTTCCTTTTTCCGTGGAGAACAAGTGAGCCCAGATGCCCTGCTTCTGAGAACTGGAGGACCTGGCAAACTCACCACATGCTGCACGCTTATACATATGTATACATACACAATAGTGTTGATTATTCCGAACAATAACAGGGTAAGGCGGTTGATTTGCCATTGTTAAAAACTGATTTACAGTAACTTAGAACAACTGTACTTTGGTTGGATTAGCAAATCGTGTGTTTAAACAAATCCCATATGTTGGGCAACAGTTCAAATAAGCACAGTGAAGTGTTGCCCAAACGTGGTTCTCTGACTCTCATATTTGTAAGGCTGGGCTTCAAATTCAAAACAACAACAACAAAAAAACCAACAGCAGGCAAACGGTTGTTAACTCTGGACACCCTTGCCATAAATTCTCGATATTTGAGGTCTTCTGAGGAAGACATGGGAAATGAGTGGCCCATTTTAAAAAGAACAAAGCCATCAAGTGTTCAAGTTCTCTATGTGTCTTACTTTGCAAATGATGTCCCAACAGGGAGGAACGTGAGCCTGTGTGTGATCTCCACGTCCCAGTTTGAGTGTGGGACGTGCTTCCAGATGCCACCTGGCAGCCGTGCCTTCCCCTTTGTAAAGGACATCGTGTGGCATTCAGAGTCAGGCAGGCAGTTTGAGGTGCCTTTATGAGAAAGACACGCTGGGTGGGTCAGGGAGAGGACAGTTATTGACAGTGATGTGCAATGAAGTGACAAGATGAGAGCAGAATAATAAGAGCTTTGAATTTGAAGTGATTTTTTTCATAAGTTATTTATTCCTTTTTTCTGTGTAAATATATTTATTTTACTGTGGAGCTCTAACAACATCTGGATCGTAACATGTGCAGAATGTATGGTAGGAATGTATTCTCCTGTAGGAATGTCAGTCTGTATTAAAAGGGGGCCTGAGCCAGACCCCGGGGTCTTCTCATTGTATGCACAGTCCACGTTCATTTTCACTCTCTTCTCTAATATGGGTCTATTTGAAATATGCAAAAGGTATGGATGAGGAATGTTTTAATACCTCCAAATTTTTAAGAAAATCAAGCATCAAAGGGTTGATATTTTTAAATGTTTTTTTTAGCAGCACTTTCTCTCTACGACAGAAGGGGCAACCACACTGACACCCTTGTTCACACCAAAAGGTGAGAACTAGCCAGAACCTCCGCTCCACCTCGAGTGTCTTTATCAATTGAGCTTTTTATTGCCATAGCCCCTTGGAGTGTCCCAACTGCCCTGAGGTCAATCAAGGAAAATTTCTTACATAAATAAGCTCCTAAGAGCCAAAGTATCAACTTACAGATCATTTTTAAAGCTTAAATTTATTAGCCATCTTTGTGGTAAACAATGAATTATGAATACTGCAGGGCAGCCTTCTTAAACGACATGCTAAAAACAACAGACTCTACTTTATGCAACAGTTGATATTCTCTCTATGAATTGTCTTAATTTCAAAACCTTGCTGGTATAAATTGGGCCTTTATACATTTTGTGAAAATACTGAAAAGAGCATATTTAACCTGTTCTGGCTGTAAATGGTTAACTTCCTGTAATCGCGGACAACAGCAAGGTGTCTATGTCCTGCTTGTGTACAATTGTTTTCAGTGCTTCTAAGAATGAATCTAAATGGTTCTTGACAATTAGCCAGGATCAAATACTATTACAGACAAAGCCAATAAAAATTTCGGACGTCTTTTGGGAATAACAAGTTTGGAAGAGAAGTGCAGTCCATACAAGCAAACAACTAAGATTTTAGAAAAGATGTATATAGTGACATGTTTGGTGCATGGTTTTTGAGGAGGGATTTTGTCTAAAAAGGAGGTTTAACCTTTCCCCCACAGACCTGAGAGCTGTGCCTTTTCTATGCAATATTACAGACATTACATCGGAACCCAGATGGCTGTATTCACGTGTAGGTTTGGGCTGTAATCTAAACAATTGGACAGATTAAATGTACATGGAAATGAGCAGTCTTACTTTTGTAGTTTTATATTATACAATAAACAGTTAAAAGATGAGAGAGGCGTGTTTGCAGTTTCCTTCTGACCGGAGCATAGCCGGTTCACGTCACCGTTTGCTCGTGTTAAGGAGCAGTGCGCCCGCAGCCTCCGCTGGAGCTCGTGCTGTCGGCCTTCTCTCACCACCTGGGTCCCAGGAGCCCCTTTCTCTCCTGGTTCTCCCCCTGCTTCCTGGGCCCTTCTCAAACTGCTCATCCTCACTCGACCTCCTTATTCTCACTTCTCCCCCTCAAGTCTCTAAACAGTTTTTTCCCAGGGGTTGGTCGGTGACGGGTTTTTGCTGAGCCTCCGCTTATGCTGCTTGCTTTCCTAAGGGAATCTAATCCACTCAGGTGTCTGAAAACGTGTTTTAAGGTCCTCACTTCTCTCCTGAGCCAGATCTGCATTTAAGAATCTACCGAGCTTTGTGCTTCCATTTCCTCAGGGGGCCGATCCTTGCCCTCTGGGCCTCCCTTTGACCTCATCACCCGTTTCCCAGGCCTCATCCCCCGCACACAACCTGTTCTCCCATCCAAGCCACTCTGTTCCGAAATGTTCACCATCCCCACAACCTCCTTTCTATCCCTACCACAGCTTCCTGACTGAGGCCCTTTTCCCTCTGTGCCCCTGGCGATTGCAGCTGCTTCCTAACTACACTAACTGCCACAGTTGTTTCTCTAACTAGTTGACGCTTGAGTTGACGTCCCAGGTGCCAGTGGCTCAGGCATTTGTTGCACATCCTCCAGCAGCCGCCCTGGTTTACATAGTCCGGCCCTCCCCCACCACCTTGCAGAGGTTAATGGAGGAGATCCTCCGCAACCTCCTTGGCAGCCGGGCCATCTTTGATGGACTTGTGGCATCCAGCCTCGCCTGGTCCAGGCAATTCTGGGCCAGGAGTGGCCTGGAGAAGAGGCACCTGGGAAATGAGGGTTCCATTCAGTCAACAGTGAAATATGGGGTGGAGGGGAGGGGAGGTTGAAGAGGTGTTACAGGTTGAATTGTGTTGTCAAAAAGTTATGTTGAAGTTCTAACCCCCAGTACCTCAAAATGTGACCTTACTTTCGAAATAGGGT